AATTGTGATATGTCACTGGTACATTACCTTTAACATCGGTGTCCTTACGTTTAATGGCAACGTCGTCCGCACTGATGGTCACCGATATAATGATTATAGATATGGCCAACAAATAAGATATTTCCAGCATTATAACAAATTTGATGTCACAATGAAAGTATAATTTATAAAAAATACAATTAAATATTTAAAAAGACTAAATTTTATTTTGATAACTCGTATTAAGTTTTAACTACAAAAACCTGTCATTTTTGGCGCCTTTTGTAACACTCGAACCCACATTAAGATTCAAATCAATACTTTCTATTTCATTATCCAGAATATCTAAAAATAACGGAAAGTTTATAAAAATATTAATATTTATTCATTGATTTTTACACTAAATACAAACCCAAATGTTTAGCACTGATAACCAATTCTGTTTGAATACATATGAATACAAGTAATTTCATAATTGTATTCATTTTCATACGAATTCACTTCCAAGTATAATAACGTAAGTGTACTTGTCAAATTCAAAAAAGTGTATGAACTTTATGCATATATGAAAATATTCCTCATTTCTGTTATATTTGATCAGCAAAATGTATAAATCTGTTATTTCGTACATGAAATCAGTGTTGATTTTTGTAAACAAATTGTTAGAGCTTATTGCACCTGGATGTTTGTTAATCCTAATCCTATGCAATCTATAAAACAAACAATGATTTCTGAGTTAGCCCTTTGGATGACCCTTTAATAATAGTTATAATTGTCATATAAGATATAAAACAAAAAACAGTAAAATGATAAAATATTTTGTTATTTACATAGATAATTGATAAATTAAATTCAATAAAGACATTGACACTACTGTAGATAAAATGATGAACAAATCTAATAAATATAATAATTAAAACAAATGAAGTACTCGTTGTGCATATAATCAATATATTCTGTATTCAACTCTATTTGGTTTGTCATTGAATTCTGAGATATATTTAATTGAACTGAAATCTAGCTAAAATCTACAATTTAAATAGAACTGACTTTTTACAAAATAAATTGTATATTAAGAATTAAAGCACTTTTATACCATAGTCTATAAAAGTTGTTTATACCATAGGGAAGGGAAGCTTCCCTATAATATAATGTCTATAATGTCTGTTAATCCTAATCCTATTCAATCCATTCTCCACACAATGCATTGTAATTGCAGAGATTAAACAATCAAATGGTATATCATTTCTAACATTTAATTTTTAATTCAATTCAAATTACAATACAATTAAATTCCATCCAATAATCATTAACACAATGTACAGAATATACGGAATAATACAGAATATTCTGTACATTCATTCAAAAGTTATGATAGCATTGAACGCATGCTCTGTACGGCTCTCTCAGCACTCATTCAATGCAAACACAACTCAAACGACAAAAACAATAATTGTTTGAAAAGTAGTGACAAAACATTGAAATCACTAATTATTGTCTCAATTAAGCGGTGTTTCTGTAGTTTTTTGGTAATTATTTGCATTCATTTCATAGCATTTGTAACACATTTTGTTTGTCTTGATTGTGACCACCGATGGCCAGAAGTGTGAGCAGAAGTCGCTCCAGAAGTCCGCACAATCGGCCCAAAGGTATGCCTCACATGACCGCCAAACACATCCAACCATTGATTCATATCTTAATTATCTGTTCACAGATCGTGTCATCAAACGGAAGACCCAAAGAGACAGAGACTTTGAGAGTAAGGGCTCGAGAGGTAGGGATAGGGAGAGGGGGGAGAGGGAGAGGTCGCGCGAAAGGGAACGGGAGAGAGACAGAGACAATGCCCGCGAAAGGGACAGACCTGACAGACCTGACAGACCTGTCGTGAGAGACAAACCCAGAGACAGAAGTGATAGGAATAGAGACCATTCCAGTGGTAAGTGTCTCACACTGTCCTCCATGTCTGCCATCATTTCAATGCATTGTTTGTATGTATGTATGGATCAGATCGTCGCAGAAGTCGGTCACCAATGAGAAGACGTCGCAGGAGTCGATCCAAGTATTGATTGATATTTAGTTGTTTCCGTTGAATGTCTTATAATGTCTTATAATCTAATGAATTGTCTTATGTTTGGATTGTGTGGTACAGAGAGAGGAGTTCAGCGGATCTCAAGAAACAAGAGAAGAGACCGGAGATCACTGCCGAGGATTTGGAGGGAAAGTCGCCCGAAGAGATCGATATGATTAAGACCATGGGTTTCGTGGGCTTCGACACCACCAAAGTAGGGCTCAATTAGCGCTAACTTTTAATCGCAATCAATGGGTAACTAATTGTGTGACTGTTTTGTGCACTCAAAGGGCAAACACGTTAAGGGGAACGACATATCGGCCGTACATTTGCTACAGAAACGCAAATACAGGTCTGACATTGGGATGAATTAAGTGCTAATCAGTGATTAACCGGCGATTACTTTGCAGGCAATACATGAACCGGAAGGGAGGCTTCAACCGACCCCTCGATTTCGTGGCCTAAACCCCCGTCCCTTCAATGGCTCTCTTGACGTCATTTATGGCATAACTCTACTCTTCACTCACTTTTGTGTGTCATTTGAAAAGATTTTGTAAATATTTTTGAGTCAAAACTCAATTGACATCTGATTTGCTTGTATTGACTGACATTTGGTTGAAATAAACGACAATTTCTTGAATCAAACGATATGTCTATTAATATAATGAGTGAACAGTTGTTTCGCAATCACTTGCTGTCCATTGAATGCAAACAAATCGCTTCAGACATGCATTCAATCGATAATCTGTTTGCAGATGACGTCCAACGAAGACAATTGGGCTTCAGGTATGAGATGTCCGGTGAATGTGACACAAAGTATTGCTATATCTGTCTCCATATGTCTTGAGCTCCCTGTCCTCCCTGTGCCCTAACTAACCATTGATTGATGTCTGTGTCAGGACTGAGCCCTACATCCGACCCCCAATTGAGATCACTTTGCGGTCGACTTTCAAAGTGAATGTCAAAGAGTTGGAGATCGGACTCAAACTCAACGATAATAAAAGCGATTCATTGGAGATCTCTTCGGCCAGTGATTCGCAAGAGTTTCAGATAATTACCAAACAATTCAATTGTCACTCATTTGACTCGTTGTGTCTCAAGAATGTCTGCTTTCGACTCAATTCCACATTAAGTTCACTGAACACGAGTGCCACACAACGAGACAACTGTCCCCTCAGACACACCACTCGTGTCCACGCAATCAAGTGCTTCAAGAATTGCTTCCAAATAAATGCCATTAAAATCAAAATCTTCAGAACAGCCAACTCTTCGGTTCCGTGTCTTAGGTATGAATTTATTGATTGAATTATCTGTGAATTCAATACTCATTTATTCCCAATAGTTATCTAAACATATGGTGTCAACCAATAGGACAAACGGATCCCAAGATTTTGCACCAAATTCTAGACATCTTTTCAAAACAGCGTCCAAACAGTGGTTCAAAGCGTTTGAGTTTTTATAACTCAACCGATGATTCAAATAACGAGACTATCAGTGAAAGCACTTCTAAACGAAAGTTGGATTCAATTGATTGTTCCCAAAGTGACCACAAGTCTGTGATTCCCGAAGAGTTCATCGATTCGATCACAAATGAGGTGATGATTGATCCCATTCTTCTGCCTTCTGGTCATTCTGTGGACAAAACCACTTTAGATAAGTATGTGTCAGAAGAGGCCAAATGGTGTCGCCGTCCGTCCGACCCGTTCACGCAATTGGTGTTCACAGGGGAACGACAGCCCAAACCAAACTATATTCTCAAACAAAGAATCGACGAATTCTTGAGCCAATTGTGCGGTCAGTCCAGTGATGAACGACTCGAGCCCTCAAACAAACGCCGAATCGTTGGCTATAATTGTGTTAATAATAGGAATCAATTGATTTCCAGTAAACTGTTGGCCAGTAATGCGTGGGACGGGAGGGCCGGCAGTAGTAGTAGTAGTTCTGAAGCTAAACAAGTGGTGAATAACCAGCAAAAGTGTGTCGAGTGTTGTGTCGCTCACAGAAGCGAAGAATCTATAGTTTTATACAAACTTTTGTGCAATCATTTGATTTGTAGGAAACAACTGTTGACTAAATTGGACCCAAAGTTAGCAACAATTATATGTAAAGAATGCAAATGTTTGACACGAAAACAATCTATTGTTAAATTGAATCACATGTAGTGCAATGCTAATTGTCGATATTTATTAAAAGTCTTATTACCGTAAAAGTAATAAATGCGTTAATGACATGAAATAAATAGTAAACTTAGAGTTGGTATCAATTATGTGTAAATGACTTGAATTTGTTGAGTTTTCGGTTACATATTGCTTCAAAAAACTTCTTAAATGCATTGAAACAGAATAGAGTCGATTCACACTTATTTAATAACGTATTCTCCATAACACTAATACAACCCATGAATCCAACAGAATCTCCAGTAAAAGTCCAAATCTGTGAGTAGTTATCCTCCAAATAAATCCTTAATTTGAAAACATTGTCCAAAACGGTAGTGAGGGTTGTGTTGAACGTAAACCACGGCTTTTCACCAGACACATTCCCTGTCAAAGCAACTAAATCAATCATTTATGTGTTTATTGTATGGATGTTGAATGGATTGAGAGGCACTTGAAGTGGTGGTGATGTTTGGCAATGGTGTTGATTGTGTGGATATGTTTGCCTCTAAATTCTTGTTCAATGATTGCTTTAATTGAGTGTCACTTTTACTGTCCAATTGTTTAATCGTATGTTCACTCAAACTCTTCTCCATATTTTGTATTTCATTAACTGATATATCTATTAAACAAGTTATTAATTGTTATTTTTAATTTTAATTAAATAAATTTCTAATATAATAATATGATTACAAACCCAATCGTTTAGCATTTAATTGAAGTAACATTTGAATACATATTACAACAACTGAACTCAAAATTGCATTCATTGTCATACAAATTCACTTAAATTTTAATTAAACTAAAGTTTGCTTTTAAATAAATTCAAAATCCAATTGTTTTATGCATTTATAGTATAAATTTTATACAGTATTTCAAATTCTTATCATAGCTTCCGGATCTTAAAGTTTGTGATAATCCTAATCCTCATTCAATGGATTATAATATGTGCATAACTTCTAAGCCTTCAAATGCATTGCAAATCCGTGCAAACTATGGGAATGCCATTGCCCTCCAATTCATAACATAATGAATATTCTGTGTGTAAGATGTGAACAGAATATTCTCGATGACCACGACCTGTCACATCATTTATGTAACATTAGGTAACATGTGGTGAACGCATGCGCTGTCAATGTCTCAAATCGTGGCAATAGTTTTGTAAACAAATGACTAATTATTGGCAAAAAATAGCAATCAATCGGTAAATCACATGAAAATCGCGACAATAAACCAAACATTGCGTACAAAATGTGTGTAAATGTGGTGCAGATATAGCGCGAGATCGTGTCATAGTCTTCGCCATCAGTGACACCAATGCCTTCCTCGTCGGCCAACAGCACATCCATTGGCGGACACGACAGACAGCCGTCCGTTCAGCTGAAGATCGAGGCGTCGGGCGGTCCGCCCAATCAGACCAACTCCAAGAGGTTGCGGCAACTGATCCTCAGAAACGGCACATACTTTGTGTCACAAATCGCTGTCTTAGTGACCAAACTGTCGCCAATCGTGCAGATCGTGTCCATTGTCTTGATTCTACTCTATTTGATCCAATTGTCCGGCGATTCAGTGACCGATTGGCTGATCCTGAGCCCCGACTCTGTGCTGAGTGTCGGCCAATGGTATCGCGTATTGCTGTCACTCTTCACACACCCCTTCATTGAACTGCACTTCTATACGATCGTCATCGACATGATATCACTCTCCCTATTGGCCACACTTATTGAACCCCTTTGGGGACCCAAAGAGGTATTCATTCACCACTAATCCAATGCTCACTAACTCACTGACAATCCATTGCCCGCACAATCAGGTGATCCTATTCTTCTGGGTGGTGGCCATCGGGTCGGCATTCCTCTCATGCCTTCACTACATCCTAATCTATACGATAACCACAGACGCGTCGCAACTCTTCTCGACGCGAATCCACGGTTTGTCGCCATTCTGTGCGTCCATTGCGGTGACAGTGAAGCAAATGCTGTCGCAATCGGTTCTGTTGACCACCGCTGTCGGCAAACTCAAGAACGACGACATCCCTCTCACGTCCCTATTGGTGGCACTCGTCCTCTACTTCTTGAACCTAATAGAAGGCGAATCAGTGGTGATGTTCTTCTACGGACTGCTCGTGTCGTGGATTTATCTGCGATTCTTTCAACTCCATGAGCACAACAGCCGCCGCTCCACCACCGCCTCCACTGCGGGCCCCACCCGTAGCCAAACCCGTGGCGACTACTCCGACGCCTTCGCGTTCCACACATTCTTCCCGAACGTCTTGAGACCAGTTGTGGCCGTCTTTGCCGACGCCTTATATGCGCTGTTCGTGCGGATCGGGTTGTGTCCCGACATCAGCGCCGGTGATCACTACCAGGCCGTGCGACTGCTCAGCGAACGGCTCACCAATGATATGAATCACACCAATCACACCACAAACCATACGCCCAAAGTCGAGACACTCTGAGACGACAGGCGCCCCACACCTGTCCTACCATTCAATCCATTGTTTGTTTTGTTTTATTTTAATTTATGTTTTGTTTTTAATTAAGTTTTTTGGACTAATATTTTGATTAATTTTTTTGTGGCCATCGAGTGAGCGCTGAATAAATATTTATTTTTTTTGTTTTTATATAATTAATGAGTGAATGGTATGTGATGTGAGTGACAGTGAAGAACCCGTGGAAGTGCTGCCAACATATGATGACTTCATGCATATGTTATAATGAGTTAAATCGAAATTATAAATAATTTTAATATTAATAACACATAAATGGATACAAATTAAGTGAAATACGCGATCATAGGATATATTATTTTTGAATACTCTCTGCGATTATACCGTAATATAGTATGAGATGCTGTATAATATCAAAGACTAGTGGCTTAAGGACTGACACCGCATACAAATAAAAGTGCACTAATTGTTTGTTATCATTAAATCTCATATTTTTAATGTAAATTAATTAACTTTAAATTCGCAATAAAATATTGTTATACCGTTTATACAATTGTCTTATTGCTGATCATATCTTATGGTTAGGTATGGAGTGGATGATGGTATGATAAGTTTCACTCCAGGTACTCTCAAAGCCATTTCCTATTAAAATTCTTATATTCTGTATGAAAAACATCTGGTAATTAAGATGTTGCACCGGTATGTATTCAATTTAGTGCATAATTTGTTTGGAAACGCCTTTCCAAATGATTGATTTATAGAGTGTAATAGAAATTGTGAACAGTATTGGAGATTCATGTGAATGAATTGGTTGCACCAAAAGTTGACTGAACTTTCAATTGAAAGGTTAACCATTGAAACAACAGTTGGGTTTAGAGAACTTATATTTCCTATAAATATATGTTTGAAAACTATTTTGATTCATAACTTCTTACTCTTAAGTCCTATGCAATTATCCATAATATTTGCTTTCAACTCATTTTCAAGTGTTTGTTATGTGCTTATAAAAACGCTAAACCAATCAATCAGTCAATACATTACACAATGTGTGCACACAATTGAAAACTTTTTCGCATAATCTCTCTATTCATACAAATTCATTAAAGACTTAAATGCATTGAAAC